GGCCGCGGGGCGCCAGGGCGGCTTGGGGCCGGCCTGTGTCCAGCTGCAGCTCCCGGACCTCGGGATTGCAGAGGCTGCGCTCGGGCCGGGTGGTGACGGTTCTCTGTTGTAGGACTCCCTGTCAGTTTTCTGTGGAGCTGCATACCTAGAATAGAAACGTATTTGGAAACAGGTTCAGACTATTGACAGGTAGTTATGCAAACGTAACAATAAACTGACAGGAAAAAGAGCATCGGCTTTTACAGCACTTTTCTGAAATTTGAACTTTGGAGAAAGAATCAAAGGAAAAGTTGGGACTAATTTGGACTTGCTGCCTTTAGAAACTATTTTGTTAATGACTATTATACAAGTCAGTACCTGTTAAGACTAATTCAATAAAAAATAACATTAACATATCAGGAAAAAAACGTGTTTAACTTAAGATTGATAAGTGGTTATATAATGACTGAGACGGAAACAACCATCATCTGATGTTTCCTTTAAGACTAAATCATTCTATGATGTAGCATACTTTTGAAGTTGTAGAAAAGCTCTTCCTGGACAGGTGTAGAAAGAAGGTAGTAGCAATAAAATACTATTTGTGTGAAAAGATATAATAGAATATTAATATAGAATAATACAGTGATTTAGTGACTTTTTTTCCTGTGGCATTACAGCTGCAGACTACTTACGCAGCCGATATTACTGTTATCTTTGTCTTCTTGAGACTGTCTTTAGGAATCTATTTTGGAATCTATATTCGTGTTGTTTATGAAGCTGTCAAAAATAGGAGAGAAGTGAGATCTTAATATGTCTTTTCACTGGATTTAAAAGGCATTGACAAAGGTGTATAATGTTGAGCGTGCATTAAGTAGTATGTTTGCAATGGCATGTTCTCTCAAGGCTTTAGGTGATAATTTTCAGTTAATCTGTACAAGCCACAATGCGACAGTAGGGAACAGATTTATAGCAGTGTTTTTTCCTTGAATTTTTGATTTGTCCTTATTAAAATTAGCACAAATAGTGTTTTTTTTCTATTTTGGAAAGAAAATGGATTGAAATGGTCCTGGCAACAATTGAATGTCTTGGTACTGCTTCAGTGTAGGTGTATTTAACCCTTTTTCTTATGTTTTCAGGACGAGGATTTGCAATTCGAAGAAAACAAAAGATCGAAAGACAATACAGGAAATTGTTGAAAAAGGGGAGAAAGGTCCATTCACAACAGGATAATCAGTTTACGGATACTTATCCAGAGCACTTGAAACATCTTTACCTAGCTGAGGAAGAAATGCTTAAGAAACGGCGCAGGGCTCCAGATGATTCAGTTTTATCAGAAGAAAAACTTAATAAAGCAGTAGAGTAAGTTCTTGAAATATGTCTCTAAAAACAAGTTACTGTTTCCATCATTAAAGAAATAGTTTAGATCATATACTTCACGTGGACTTCAGTATGGTGATTTGCTTACTAAAAAATTGCCATTAGGTATTAAACGTTTTTCCTAATTGTTAGAAAATTTAAACATACAGCTTTGTTGTGTTTGCGTCAGAATCAGAAAGAAAAATTGATGGTGTTTAGGGCTTGATTCCTCAGTAATAATGTGACAGTTACCATTGTACTTTAAGGATAGAGTTCAGCCCAAGAGCAGTGTTTGGCCAATTTCTTACCATACCTACAAAGAGAAGAGTTTGCATTTCGAGTAGTGTGCTTTTGAGTCTACAGAGTTTTCCTTTGAATTGATTCTCAGTATTTTTAAATTAATGTCACTTTTTGGGAAGGTTTGTGCATTATTTTTCTGTTCACAGTTTGATAAGTTGTTTTCTTCATATTGCACTGTTTTTCTGCTAGAATAAGCGATATTATGTGCAGTTATCCTTTCGTGGTATGGCTAGTTTTGGGGCGATTTTAACTTTGAACTTGAAAAAAAAAATTGAAATGGAGGATTTAGTAAAACCTTAAGGGAGTAAAATGTTCTTGATCAAAGTAAAAATTTTAAACAATAGAGATATCATAATAGTTTGCCAGTGGTGTTTGGGGTTTTTGTTTTTTAGGGGTTTTTTTAATTTACTTATAATAACTGAGAAAGTCAAGTGGAGTTTTAAATTTGCGGTCTAACAAATGTTAGACAACTTAAACCATTTTTTTGCTGTATGACAGTAGTTCCCCCTGAAATCTTGGTTAGATATGTCAGTGAAATGAAAAGCAGTGGTCACTCAGGTCTAACGCTGTCCTGGAAGTGTTTTTAAACAGCATTCAAGTATAGTGACTGAGATAATGCCTTTTTGTCCCCAGGACAAGGAGTGCCCTACCTCTTTGAATTCCAAGGTGTATCTACATCTAAACTTTCCTGGGAAGAATGCTTGGGAGAGGGGGAAAAGGCAGTCAGATCTAAGTCCAGCAGTGGGAGAACGGTAGTTTCATCTGGAATGGGCAGCTAATTCGTGGGGATGTCTGAAATAGGACTGTTTTTCTTTAAACCAGAGGGGTTTTTAATTTTGCTTAAACTATGGTCATTGTGATTGTAAACCAGAATTAATAATTCTGCAAAAATGTGACTGCTAATCTGTGAGGTGGGGTGATGCGTAGAGTCTATTAGGTAGACTTCAGTGTTTTGTGGGGATGTAAAAATAAGACTTTGGTTAGGTAGTCCTATTTTAGCATATGTTGCAATTTAAGTAGTTTTGTACTTCTGAGAAGATGAGGTGTGATTGCACAGTATTGCCACAAGATGGAGATGAGAATAAAGCAAAGATTTTTTTTTTTTTTTTTTTCCCTCCTGAAGAGTGTGGTGTTTCTAAATGAAAGTATGAGTAAATGCCTTCACTTTCCTTTTTGATCATCTGTCTGAAATGTCCAGGATAAAGATGGCTAGTTCTCATTTTTTTTGTAGTATGAGTAATAGAGTAATCAAAAACTTATTTTGTGAACAGCTGTTAACTGTCTAGCAAAGCTTATGTTTTTCAAGTATGAAATGTTACTGTTTATGTAATGGCTTTATTGTAAATCAGAAAAAAAATTTAGAACTAAATAGCCAGAAAAATCCACTCAAAGTAATGTGGCAGTAAATGCCAGACAAATGGCATTGGTTTTCTTTACTGTTTTCTTTGAAAGATACCTGTGCAGTTTTCTATGTTGAAATTGGGAAGGAAAATTCAGTTCCTAATTTCAAAACATTAAGGACCATCTCCTTCATGAAGAAATTTTTAGAAAGGTATTGTTATTACTGTGGTTTTTTACCTTGCTGTGTCAGCCTGACTTCTCTGGCAGGCAATCTGCTAACAGCTGGCAGTCCTCATATCTCTGCAGTTGCATCCATATGTCCAAACTAGAAAGAGATAATGCAGCTCTTAAGCTAGTGTGTTCGGTTTTTCTAGCTCTGAAGAGCTAGTACAATGGGAAAAAATACTCTGTTAGGCACTCTTTAAACTTCATGAAACACCATCCATTTAAAGATCCAGCAGGTAAGGTATTACTAAAAGTTCTGTGCAGTCCAGTCTTCAGTACACTTGGCATTGGAGTTTAGTTTGCCATGCTTTCATGCTAGATGCTCATTGTATGACATGTAGTGGTGTTGGGTATCATGTAAGAGTAGTGTAAATAGGTATCCATTCAGTGTAGAAGGGTGAGCCTTGCTTGTCACTTAGGTAATCTGTAAATCTGTATTTCTAATTAACTTCACCAACTATGCAAAAAACAGTGGAAGAGCGGAAGACTGTACTCTGATTTTGCAGTGGCTATGGGATATATGGTTATGTCTGCCCGGTAATAGTCCGTATCTGAAGTACATGTACTTTTTCTCATAGGTCAGTTATGACTGAAGGGAAGCTTAAGAAGAAAACATCCAATCAGAAGGCAAAAGAAGAGTATGAGAAAATAAAGGCTGAGCGTGCTAGAAAGAAAGAGGTAAATCTTAGAAAGAGATCTTTCTTGATTGTAGACAAAGACTAGATTAATACATTTCTACCTGTCAGTCTTCCATCTGGACCCAAATAGGACCATAGGAGAGGAACACAGGTATTGATATTCTTTCAGTCTTTTTCAACTTGACAGTAATATTCAGGCATGCCCGTGTTCAAAGTTATCATTGTCTCGGTTCTTGCTATTTTTGTCTTGCAGTTGCCATTAGCAGGATTTTATTATGTCAGTTGGTACATCAAGAAAAACTTAAGAGCTTGGTCTTCATATCCTAGTGGATTATACTAGACTTCTTAAATATTGTAGAAGGGGAAGTAATAACAGTACCGTCATCTTGTGATGAAAAATGAAATATCTGTCCTATTTCTTATGGTGTTATCATAATGCAGTCTTCATTTTACCCTTTTATGTGCTTTGACCAACAGTGAAACAATTAAATGTAATCATATCCACTGCCAAAATCTTCAAATTTTTTTTCCCTTGTTCTAATTTAATGCGACTTATTCTTACAGGGCATACCTTAATATTATCATCGTTGAATAACTCAACTGAGTTATTTGATACATCCTTATTTAATTATTTTTTTCTCTCCCAGTACATTGTTGATTGCACTGTAAAATGGCACACATTGTAACATTGTAGAAGTTGTGTAACTCGCTGCTCACAAACTAAATTTCAGTATAAATATTGCTGTATATTTATACTGTATAAATATTACATAAATATATAGCTGGATAAAACACATTATTTCTTCAGCTTAGCTGTATTGAAAGCTAGAGTAGTTTTATGCAAGCTGACCTGTGATTCTGGGCAAGTTACGTGGTTGTTCAGCTGAGAGCTTCCTTTTTGAATATTAGATGCAGATTGTGCGAAAAGAAATGAATGCTATGACCAGCTTCTTTAGAGGAAATAGGAACAAGCAAAAACCCAGCAAGATTGCAAGGAATTTTCTTTGAGCAGCACATACGAGTTGCCTGAGGGGAGGTGTTAGCATTTTTGATCTTATTCAAGATATTTAGGCACAACAAGCAGTGCTGAGTGTCACAATAACAGTAATCATTTATGTGGAATACTGGTATGATAATCACATGCTTTACCCTCATGTATGTTAGCAAACACTGGATTTGCTGTTATTTATTTGGGGAAAAGAAGTAAGCTTAAAGGCACAGTTTTGGCCTCCACACTATAAAAAAAGCTAGGATTTAGTAGAGATCAGAAAAATACAAACGTAAGTAACAACTGCCTAAGTAAGATGAATGTTCTTGCTTTGAGTAAGTATTTGGTTGGTAGCTTAAATGAATGTTGTTTACAACAGTATGCCAAACACCAGTAAAATTATTAGTTAGGAAGTGAATTACAGGTAAGTTAGCCAATACTACTATGGATTAAAAAAAAAAAAAAAGAATGATATTAATCATTGTTACAGTAAAATACGTGAAGCATTCTGAATGGAGAGATGTTATATTTACAGGTTTGTTTGGTTTTTTTTTCCCCCAGAGGCCTCTTAGATTTTTATTTAGAAGTATCTTCTTGGGTAATTTCTGGTTAATTTTATATTCTACATCACAGAGCATTCTTACTAATTTTTGTACATCACAGAAGCTAGCTATGTCTTGGAAAACAGTAACATAATTGATAAATTCTCATCTTTGAGCATTCTGCAGAAACATCTGCCTTTGTGGTCAGCATGGCACTGCATTTCAAAGAACAAGCTTTATGAGAAGAAATCATCCAAAAGAACTGAAGCAGTCTTTCAGCCTGATTTGTGATGCCTTGCATATTTTGGTAGGACGTGATACAAGTGAAACAAGCTGGTTAGCTTGCTTGTTGTGGATATTTGCCCAAATTACTTACTAAAATTACAACACTAGAGAAGGGGGTGTAAGCTATTTGATAAAAACTGAACATAATATGATGATTATCCATATAGTGTAAGTGCCTCCATTAGTGTTTTGGTTGCATGTGTGCTGTCTCCTCAACATGGAAAGTTAGTACAGTTGAAAATCTGCTTAGGGTGGTTTTTTTTCTCTCTCTTAGTAAAGACAGCAGTCTGTGTTGCTTCGAAGAGGGCAGGTCACTAATAGTTTGGTCCTGATTAAGTTGCCCTAGGTAATGCTGCTTGCGATGCTGTCCTAGTATGACAAACTTGCCCAAGTTCCAGCTCCAGATATGTCCCATATCCTATATGCCAGTCCCACGCAGATGTGGCCAGTATCCTAGCACATCTGGATTGGCAAGACATTTACATGGGAGACTCTGGATCAAACTTTTTCTTTCTTTCTTGCACTTGAGAGGAGAAAGTGGGAAATTTTTGCTACTTTGTCATTTAAGGAAAAAAGTAATTTCACATGAAAGGAAGCAGTACATAATTTAGTGACAAATCTTACTTTAGGATGTTCTGCTGAAGAAAACTTGGCTCTTCTCTTGAAGCTTTAGGCAATACAATATGTTTTGATTGCAGTATGCTCTGATTAAGAGAGTCCTGATTAAGCTTTTAAGAGTAGTGGTGTTTCTAGTGTCAGCATAATACCTAATTGCCAGTACCATTACAAAAAGAAATTTTATTGCTTATAGATGGCTTCATAGTTATAGAAAGTATGTAATTATTTCATAATCATATCTGTTTAATTTCAGGAAGCAGAAAAAAGAAAACAACAAAGAGAAGCAGCTCAACGGTTGTACAAGCAAAAGAAAATGGAAGCTTATAAAATATTGAGTAAGAAGACGAAAAGAGGACAGCCAAATCTAAACTTACAAATGGAGTTTCTTCTTCAGAAAATACAGCAAAATACATAAACCTCTGCATACATCTTAATTGCAGGTCTTGAGTTACCTGTGGACATTTTATTGATTTTAATAAATAATGTCTTTTTGCTTCTATATGACTTTCGTTACTGGCTTGATTTACTCATCAGTCCAATAGTAGAGGATATTAATCCCAAATGTATGTATTCTATGCTGAGAGCGAGAGAGATCTGGTACCTTGAAAATAAATGGTCTGTATTTCTAAACTTAAATTCTGTTAGCTATGTAATATCCTGAATTCCAAATCATTAGAGCCTAGTATCATCACAACATAAATCTATGTAGTGTAAAGCATTTGTTTTCTAGCTCTAACGCTTCCTGCAATTGTGCCTGCTAAAATTACGCTTACTTGAGTAAAATGATACGTGCGACGTAACTGATGTCTCATGACCTGCCAAGGCTAGGAATGTGTTTTGTGTGCTACTGGATAGGGTTTGGCACATGAAAACGAGGAACATAAACTATATTTGGATAGCTGTCATTCTCCACAAAGAATAAAACTTACCAAAGGTCCAACAATGGTTTGACCGTAGAGATCGTGTAGACTTAACATATACTTTGTGCTTGGTGATTTATTTTGTTCATAAACTAAGTATGACTTTCTAGCTATGATGGATGAGGTAGATGGGTTGAGGTTTTGGTATGCTGAGTATGTCAAGTTTCTAATCTTTGTTCTTTGGAACATTATAGAAAAATAATTCTTTTAAATCTTGATTTGGAGATGCAATTAATGATCTTTGGCCTAATAAAATGAAAGCATTCTTAGTAAGACTAATAAGTTTGCAATAAAGCAAGTTAACTATTTTCCTTAAGTTTCTGCAGGAGAATACTATTATGCTTTTGCCTTTATTTCAGTCTACTTTGGCAGCCAAGAAATAATACTGAGCTTTTTTCTGCATACAGTAAAGACTATTTAGACATGAAAGTAAGGAATATCTTGGAATAAAATTCTCAGGACAGGCTCTTTAAGATTTGCAATACCTTGACAGTATTATAGTATTAAATTATCTCATTTAAAAGTTGATGTCAACTGCAAAAAAAATCCTTATTTAAAATACATGGGAAAAATAAACAGTTTTGAATTGTATGACAAATGCTGTTAAATGAGGAATAGTTTTAGGTGTTTTGAGTTGTCTAAAATGTTTCTTGCGTCAGTATCCTGAAGCTTTTTCAACCTCATCTTGTTATACTTTTTGCAAAGGCTTTGAATCCTTGTGCTGTGGTGTCATTTAGGAAAAAACTGAACACAAGTCATAAGGTAGGGCACCGACAGAAAATGTGGGAGCTTTTCTTGAAATGGGCATGTCCATTCTAGGAGAGAAAGAGAGTGTAAATTTGACACGCTTATTCTGTTTTATATTTTCCCTTTATATATTTGTTTTCTGATAATTGCTGCAATTGCCAATTTTGAATGGCTTCACGCTAAAACATTAAAGAGTAGAAATCTGCAAAGCGCCCAGAAAGTGGGAAGGCAGGTTTTGGCATACACAGGCTGTTCCAATTCTTCCCAGTCTAGGCTGTCAGCTTTTATTTTATAAAATGAAAACTGCAACTATTTGCAATTACTAGGGGTTTTTTTTTATCAGTAGTGCAAGACTTAAAATGTTAGCTTCATGTAACTTGTGAATAATATGAAACATATTCCATGTGAATTCACGGTTGAAGTTCTTCCATTTTTTGTTTCCATGTGTCTGCTACTTTATATGATCTTTTATCATTCTTCAGATAAGGAAACGTTAAGTATTCTGAATTGTCATCTTAAAAAGACCTCTTCTCAGTTCGCCATCAGTTCACTTATATACCTGCTGGGCAGATGTTTGCCATGATGTCAGCTGTCTGGAAGATTTCGGAAATGCGTAAGTCTTAGACCAGTAATTCCATTGGTCAGTGGCCATCCTGGATTACTGGTATCGCTATAGATACTGGTATACAGTCTAAATGCCAGTACACTTTAAGATACGGTGTTTATCTGTGAAGCATTTGGATGAAATATGAATGATTTATTTCAAATCCAGGTTTTTTTCTCTTGTGTTAAACTGAGTGAAAACTTTACTATCAAAATATTCCATATGCTTGATTTTTCCTGGAGAATACGCTAGGTAATGAGAGCTAGTAAGTTAATGACTTATTTTTTTCATTCCTCCTTAGCAACAAGGAGTCTCGGTTGTTGTTTAGTGGAAAAGAACAGAATTCTGCTCTAAAAAGAAATCTCAATTTTTTTTTACTTGCATTATTATCTGTTTTTGTTAAAGAATTAGAATTTTGAGAGAAATTCAGGATTCATAGTATTTGTTCCACAGTATTGGTCATTAAAATTTAATCTTACCTCATTCTAAGTTTAACTGTTGCCTTTCCCTTTAGTCTTTTTATTCCATGTTCTTGGTGATAGTTAACGTGAAACAGACAGGGTTTATCTGATTTTCCTGAAGAAGCACCTGAAAATGCCTCCCTCTTTCCCCAGTGCTTCAGATAATGTGATCAGGCAGAGCACTTGATCAAAAACCATTGCGGTATCTGACCTTAGCCCCAGCATTGCTGGTTTGAAGGAGGAGAGGGAGTTTCTGTCATTTCTCCCCATCACTTTCTCTCCTCTGTAGCTTTATTTGATTTGGAGATAAAAAAGGGGCTATGAGTAAGCCCAGCTTCTCACAGACTCTCATACAAGAGACCGTTTTTTCCACCAGAAGTTAATTCTTGATATAACTGTTCTAAAAGGAAGAAGTTAAAATTACGTATTTCCTCACGCTGTCCTTTGCTGACGACTGTGAAATAGCAACCCAGGACGGCGGCCATGAGAAGCCGGTGCAGTCCTGTGTCTCAGCTGCTTCCCAAGCCCGCGCTCCCGCACTGTGAAGCCTCTTAAGTTAATTCAGTACCACTGGAAGGCAGTGATACACCAGTGATGCCGTGGGGTGGCTTACGGTCGTGCAGACAGAGAAGGGAATTGAACCTTTGCTTTCGTTTACAGAGTAGTACTGTAACAACTGATGGTTGGACTTGATGATCTCAGAGGTCGTTTCCAACCTCAATGATTCTATGAACTGGCCCATTATCTTTTTATGGAGAAAAGTGTGGAGAATGGAGGGAAGGAATGTTTTGAGGAAGGAAATAAAGCTCTAGTTACTTCTTCTTGATCTGGTGATCACTAGGAAAATAGTCAAATAGAAATTATGTGAGTTTTTGGAGGCTGCCTGTAAAAGCTGCTGCTTTCAACTGTGTCTTTTAATTTGAAACATGAGAAGTTAGACCAATGGGATATTAAACTTGTACTGGTTTTTATTAAACTTTGCTGTGAATATGTAGTGAAGATGTTGATATGTGAAAAAGAGGAGCGTAAGTCCTGTTGCCTTTTTTTTTTTTTTTTTTTTTCTCTCTCCTGGTCTCACACTCAACTTCTCTCTTCTCTAGCAGTTTTTTTTCTATTCTCTGCAAGCCTGCAGATCTCAAGTAGTTATGTCTTTCCAGTACATCATCTGAGTAAGACGAAGTGGAAGGGATAGGGCTGCACAGTTTGAAATTTTATTCTTTAAGTTGGATAGTCAGTGAATGTAGGCAACTTCAGACGTCTCTTTTTTTTTTTTTTTTTTTTTTTTTTTTTTTTTTCCCTTTCATTATAGACCAGTGAAGCTGTGAATCAGAAATAAGGGAGGGAAGAAAGCATCAGGTACGATACCTTCATTTTCTCTTTTTCTGTTCTGAGGAACAGAATGTGAAGCTTCCCTTGCTCCTTTTGCACGTAACTTCTTGGGAAATCATAATAGTAACTTAAATGGATGATCTCATTAAGCTGGCTTTGACAGTACAGGGACTTTCTCACCCTGTACCCATTGCAACAGAATTCTTTTTTCTTCCCACTAATAGGAAAAACAAAACAAAAACTTTCATCCTTTAAGATACTGATGAAAATGTGGGACAATGTAGACTTTGGATTTTTTTTATCGTTACAGTCTGATAAATTATGCCTGCACTAAGAATTAGGTACAGAATATGAAGTTAAAAACCTGATTGTAATCTCAGTATCTATTTCTGCTTTCACAAAGTAATGTTTTAAATCATTAATCAAAATGTTTAGAAGCAGTTCTAAATGGATTAGTGGACAGAAGTGTTGTGAGCATAAGGAAAACAGAAGATTTAATGAAATCAGTGAGTACAGGACAGAGCTCTGAAACACCAATTTTCCACAGAATTTTTAGTAACTCATGCATGCCTTCTGAAAATTGCTGAGTGGGTAGTTAATAATGAACTGAGAGCCATGCAGCTAGCTTGCTGACCTTCCTCTAAAGAAAACCTTTACGGGATGTGAAAAAGAAAAAATTCATATTTCATATGAAAATGCATATTTCATATTCATAAAGCTGCCATGTAACTGGACCTACAACATGCTGATTGCTGTACCTTTTGTGTATAGCTTTGTCATGAACTTTGTTGTCTTCTATGTAGTTTTTACTTAATAGCCATTTGGATCATTATTTTCAAGTTTGGATTTATTTATATATATTCCCAAAAGAGGGATTATCCCCACATTTATATCTATTTTTTTTTAATATCTTGATATCAACCCAGTTGAGGAAACACATGTCTGTTGAGAAACTATATTTGAGGATCCCACTTTGCGAATTAAAAAAGAAAATAAACATTATAAAAATAAACTAAGCTAGCTTAATGTTTTACTACCCTATTCAGTCCACACTTGCTCACTAGATAATGTGATAAGAAGTGGTACATGGATTTAAACTATCTATATGCAAAAATGCTGAATTTTATTTTGTCCTCTAACTGCCGTGAGACAATTTGTGTTGCAAAACCCCAAGTGCTAAAAGCAGAAAGACTTTCCCTAAGAAGAGTCTGGTTTCTGCTCGCGGTGGGTGCTCTGATGCTGGAATCCATGATCTGCAGATTAAACGGTTACGGCCCTGCTGCACCGATCTGCTTATGGGGTGTCGTACTGGGCTAAGCTCCCCATTGATGTGCTCCTCGCTGCATAAATGCTGTTTGGAACTGAACGAGAAACAAATACCTCTATTTTTGACCCGTGACAGTTGCCAGGTTATGAGAGCTGATACTGTGTTTTGAGACTGTCCCTCTAATCTACGAAACAATTTATTTTGAAACAAAAAAAAGGAAGAAGAGTACTATTTGTTACATATATACACAGCACTGAACATAGATATCTAGCTACAAGGACAGTGCCAAGAGGAGAAATGATAAGTTC